ATTTAAATATAATACCAAAGCCATCCCCTGGCTTTTGGGGGATTGTTGCTTGTGCAAGTCTCTCAAGCTAGATTTCGGATCAAATATCTCACCAGAACCCTATGCTCAACAAAGAGTAACTTAAAAAACAGCTGTGAAGGGTAAATGTAAATAAAATCTATTAAATTTCAGAAGTAAATTCAGAGGGTTCACAAAACCAATGATGTGAAGAATGAATTCACATTAAGGGTTCTCTTTCCCCCTGCCTCTCTCTCTCTCCCTCTCTCATTGGAGGCTTATACAAAAATCACCATTCAGAAAGAAATAAGTAAATCCAATTAATTCCAAATGGTCCAGTATGTATATAACTATTATAAGGAAGGCTAAAATTCAAATTCCTCTACATTGTTTAATGTTTATTAATCTGAAATAGAAACTAATATTTTTTATTATTCCTATTTCTAAGTTTTATTGGGACTTTGATGATGAATTTAGTGTCTATATATTCATCCCTTTGTAACATCAAGTTGCACTGTATCTTTAACACAAACAGTATTTTATATCAACGTGGGGAGAAAAAGTTGTGAATATATGGCATAGAATGTTCAATCTTACTCAAATGCTCAGGAGTAGATTTTTGCAGAAACGTTTTGACGTTCCATATTTTGGCTCCTATCTTTATATCCGTTCATCTAATTCTCTGGATTAATAACCAATCTCTTTTTCAGGTCCTTGAACCAAACAAAAACAATTATAGATAGAGTGACTTGCGGTCTCCTGTCCACATGTCTCCATCCCTAAGACGTTCATCTTCAGTAGAGGGGGGCATCACCAGGACATGCAGAGGGCCCAGTCCCCCAAGACGCCCCCTCAGCTCAGGGTCTGGTGTCGTCGGGAAGCTCTTCCTGCCCTCGGAGCCCCAGGCCAAGGGTTGGGTCTGCACCCTTCACACCTTGCCTGCCTGCAGCCTCTAGCCAACCAACCAACAGCCCAGCAACTTCCTAAACTCCAAGTGCATGGCCTCCACGTATTCCATTTTTTTTCTGCTGCCCAGGCTGCAGGCACGTGGAAAAACGCTCTTTTTTCACCCATAGGTGTTTTAAATGCTTACAGGTCACGAGTCTGCCTGAACACTGGGAAGGAGGTGGTCCAGGGAGGAGAGTGGGGCATCCAGGATGCTCCCTTCCCTGAATTTAGGCGTCTAAGAACCAAACTCTGGAAAACTCACTTAGGATGGCAGAGGGGTAGTTTTGCACCTGCAAAGAAAGCCTGGGATGGGCTCCTGCGTTTGAGATGCAAACTTCAGCTACTCATAAATACCAGTTTAGAAAAGACGTGTGCACTGGACTGTGTGCGGTCAGGTGTGCGAAAGACGTGAGATGTGAGTGGGAAAGCAGAGGTAGGATTTGCTGTGTACAGAAAAGACTGTGTCGGTATTTTGCTTCACGACAGGAGACTTACTTCTGGCCCTGACTACAAATCCATGATGGTTTGTCATACTTATGTGCTAATAATATAAAACCTAAAAAAGTCAGAGTCATGTGTCTAGATACTAATGATGTTTCTGAAGATAACGGCTGGTAATCTTGTCCTCTGCCTGGAGGCCTGGCCCTGTTCACATGCATCAGGGCAAAAAATACTGACTGAGCTCGGATCCCTGCTGGTCAGTGTGCAGGGATTCAAAGAAATGGACCTTCAGTGCCAGGAGCGCAACCCCTCTGAGGAACTGCTGCGCTGCCTGCATCAGATAACGAGGTTCTGTCATTCGTCTTCCTCTTTCTTACCTTGACTGCCCAGAGACTCAGCACTGAATGGAATACTGTATCAGAACTCCTGATACATCCTGGGTTTCTGGTAAAATTGTTTTCATTTCCCTTATGTTTCTCCTAATTTATCTCTTTGATTCAACCTTTAACGGTGCAGTTGTACATGTGTTTATCAGGCACCTCAAATTGATGGTGAACTATTAACACAAATAAACACCCATGAATAGATTATCTTTAGTTCAAGGACGTAATTTTTGAATAAGGCAGACCAACGAATAAAGTAAGTATTATAAATTTAATTCCTAGCTCTCCATTTTTAACCAGGATCTTAAATTGTGAATGCCTTGTGAATTCAGATTATTGTTTAATTTCACAGGTCCTATCTGATGATTGATCCTCCTCTATCACCTATTCCCCATTTCTTACAAATCCACAACCCTGCCTCTACCACACAGGAAAAAAGCCATCAGTCTTAGAAGCTATCATGAAAAGCCAAATCCCCGTTGAAGCAGCAAGGCCACCCACCAACGTGCATGCCCTCCAAAGCAATAAGAAGGCACACTGAAACTGTGATCAATATTTGACTTCCTTAGAAATTTTCTTGTGTTCAAAATAAAGATGAACTGAGAGGCATCATTTTACCACTTGATACCAAATTTCCTAAAAATTGTATGTTTTATTTTTTACATTGTTGATTCCCCTCACCTGCCTCCAATTAATTTTTGCGTGTTCAAATAAATAGATACTTCAATATACTAAAAGAATGCCTTTTTATTTGGCTATGAACTGGCGTGATATGTGAGTAAAATGAAATTGTAGCCTTAACGGGAATATATTCATTGGAAAATGTATCTTTAAAAGACCGAAGTAATGGGCAGTTTCATCAAGACCCGAACTGAGGCTGCTGCCCTTGTCCTATTTGCAGGGGCCTCATGTGCTCCGAGTATCAGCGGGGACAGGGCAGCAGGCAAGGTGACACCTGTGTCGGTGGGCGGGTAGTGCAGGTATTCATGTGCATGAGCACAGCTGTCAGAGGGGAGAAACTTTCATTTAGGAAATCTTTTAAAAATAGAAAAAAACAAAGCCAGATATAATTGAAGAGTCTCACAAACTTGAAATAGCACCAGTCAAAAGATGTTGATGTATACACGAATCTTATCTGCGACAAGGAGCCCCTTTTCGGTCTGAGCAATTCGGGTGTCACCCCTTAGGATAGTACGCAGACACAGAAGAATAAAATTCAGAAAAAGCCTCACTTGATAACTCAGTGAGATTCCTTGGAGAGAAGTCTTATCTGTGACGTACGTTTTGAATGGTAATTAGTTTTACATAACAAAGTCTGCAACTTTCTCATTATAAAACCGAGGAAATTTGAAGTCAATACATGTTAAATAATTCACCCAAAGCCCCTTGGGTAATTAGTGGCAAAGAGGAAACCGGGCCCAGTGTCTGTGTACTGGGTTCCCACAGTATGCCTCCCCACTCACTATTTCTATTAAAACAGTGGGAATTCCAATAATTGCAAACACTATGACTCATGGTAAAAAATAACATTTTAAATTTAAAAAATTGAAATTATTTTTGCTGTAAAATTGTCCGATTTGGCTGTTTCTGTGACTCCTCTCTAAAATTCCGCCTACTTCGCTCCTGAAAAATTCAGGGTGTTCTGTACTCTCGGCAGCATCAGGTCTCAGAGGAGGGCGGAGCCCAGCTGTCTTCGCATTGTTCCCAGCCTAAGGCTGAGCGTCATTTCTGAGCAGTGGAGGAGATCCCAGGGAGAGCTGTGCACACACACTGCATCCCACAGGGCCCATCAGTCCACAGCTCTAGGGGATGCACCTTGGGTAGGAATACAAACGCTTGAAATAATTCTTTGGGAACTTCATGATTTTTCCAGCAAAAGTGTGGTTATGACGCCCAATTAAAACTAGCTGACACCTAATTAAAACTTTTTAGTCAAATTTAATCATTCTTTCTAGTAGCAAAACTATTGTCTAGTGAAGAGATGATTAGGCGAAAAAATCCACTCATGCTCGGCTAACTTGTTTTCCATTGTAAACATAAACAATTTTTAAGAAAGAATTTACATATATACTCCTTCATAAAATAATATATAGTTAAAAAAACCACATATTTAAATTACATAATTCAATAAGTTTTCACAATCAAATAATAATATAATAAATTAAATATAATAATTTAAGTCACAAAATTCTCTTAACCATGGCCTGTCGTTCCTTTGGTATGAAACCATTTCATCATGGATGCCCACTGAAAATTCCCTGCCTCCTTAAACGCTAGCATGGGTATTTTGGAGTAATTTGTAATTTTCCCCTTGATGTTGCTAAAGGACAATCATAATAATTGCTTGATTTCATCCGTAAATTAGTGTTCAGCTGAAAAGGAAATAAAGTGGAAAGCAGCGAAGGACGGTCACCCTGGGGTGCTCAGGGCACCTGCTCTAGCTCCCGAGCTTTGGGTACCTGGGCCCGGCCCCTGATGGCTGCTTGGGCTGAATGGCCTCAGTCCTCGCACCCTTGTTTGTGGGAATTAGCCAAAAATGTGTCACGGCTTGTAAACATTTCTAACTCATCATAACCCAAAGCTTCCACTGAAAGGTGAAGCTGCCTTAATACCACAGGGAAAGGGATCTCGGGAGAAGTGAATCTCAAGACTGAGCTAGCTGCACGTGACTCGCAGTCTTGGCGTGAAGGATGCGATTCCGCTGTGGCACATTTTAGCAGCCATCACCTGCCTATTCTGTGCTCCAGGTGTTGCCACCTCTGTCACGGACATGAAATCCCGGTGTTTACGAGTATCATCTCTAAGCCCCAAAGCCTCCGAGCGTGATCTGTCCGGACTTTCCCCTCCTGCTCTGAATTTCCCCTGCAGCTGCCCGGCGCCAGGCCTGGACCTCCTTTCCCAGGACGAGCCGAGTGCCCACAGGAAGGTCAGGAAGTTCACGCTTTACTTTACCACCGGATGTTTACCATCCTCAGCTACGGAAGGAGAAAATGGGGAGGAGAAATATGGCTCCCAGTGACCTAGGGAAGGATCCCAAGGAGCAAGTGGGGAGAGGTGCAAGGCTGGTCCTCAGTCGCCACCCCTGGTGTGGGGTAAACGCTGACCCAGAAGGTGGTCAGAACGTCTTACAAGAGCCCCACATCCGAGGAGGACAGGAAAGCTTCCCCAAGATGGTCCCCATTCATTGTGCCCACAAGTCACTCAGCATGGCGTGAAAAACCGAGGCCTTACCTTCTGTGTCTCGCATATTTTCCGCTGACGTGGCCACTGCCGTCACAGCCAGGGGTGGGACAGCTGCAAGAGGAAAGGATGGGTCACTCAGGTGCCACCTGGATGGGAGGGAAGCGGGGGACGCAGACAGACAGGGAGGGCTGGAAACTGGGAGGAGGGGGCTGGGGTGCAGGCCCTGGGTCCCCCGGGCGCGTGAAAGCCCTGTCTCTGCTATGACGCACAGTCTCTGACCACTGCTGGGGTGCATCCTGCCCGCTACCTGAACAGGATACCTGCCCGTCCTGTTCACTGACCTGAACAGCTCCTGTATGGCCGGCTCCACAGGAACTGCAGAGAGAGGAAAAGACACAAATTGATGATCGATCCCAAGAAGCCCCTTCCACAGACAGCTACCGAGAGGGTGGTGTCCACGCCGGGTCTGAGGGCTTCGGCAGGACAAAGGGGACCCCAGCAGGGCCCCCAGGGACCTGGAAGCAGGGACGTACCTCGGAGCCCTTTGGACCGCGTGCGGTGCCGCCTTTCCTCGGTATCCACCTCCATCTGGGGAGAGAGGAAGGCAGTCAGCGTGCTTTCCTGCTAGCAACTCAGGGACGGGCTCCTTCTGGAAGGGGTGCTGCTGGAGAAGGACTAGGCAACCTAAACGTGTTGTTTAAAGATAACAAAGCAGACCTCATCTTGCAGGGCCCCCGCAGTGGAAGACTTTGATTAGGACACACCTGGGTCGGTCAGTCTGAGTTGTACTTTGTGCCAAGAATATAATGGATAGGGCTGAAGTTTGCAGGAAGGAAAAAAGTGCATATATTAATGTCTAGATTCTCCCTGTAGCTGAAGTGTTTAACCTGATCGAGGAGTCGTGGCGGGGAGGAGGTGGGTGTCACAGAAGGACACGTTTTAGCGTGCGGGCTACTCTCGCCATGGTCTAGTCCTGGGGGACAATTGCATCTACCTTGATCTAAATCGTCAGGACGCTTTCCAGGGTCACAGCAAGGCTCACACTTGGAGATGACAGTGTTTCCATCTATTACCTTGCAGGGTCCTCACACGATTCTGTAAGGAGGTGTCTTTCTTACACTTCCTTTACAGCTGTGATTTGCCCAAGATCATTCAAGGGGCAGCTTTGGTGCAGGGTCCTGAAACCAGCCACTGTCTACACGTCCTCTTTAAGCCACTGGAACATACTGCCAGCTGGGTGAATGTGAGTAATTTATATACAGCACAACCGCATCATGGGAGAATTCCACTCAACGCATCAGAGGGGCTGACAAGAGATGAGCAGTAAAGACGACAGCTCCTCTGACCAGGTTCCAACCTGGACTGTGTCATTTTTCACCCCGCCCGTTGTGGCCAGAGCTGCATTCTGGGCAGAAGATGGGGACGTCGTAAAATGTCATGTACTGGGGGGTGTGTGTGGGAGAGATGGATTGGGAATTTGGGGTCAGCAGGTGCAAACTAGTATATAGAGGATGGATAGACAACAAGGTCCTACTGTAGAGCACAGGGAACTATATTCAATGTCCTGGGATAAACCGTAATGGAAAACAATATGAAAAAGAATATATATATATCTATAACTGACGACAGCAGAAATTAACACAACATTGTAAATCAACTAACTGTACTCAAACAGCAGCAAAAAGCCACGTAGGCACAGTTCACCTCCTTCACAGTTCATGACAAGAAACGTCAGAATTTGGGAAAGAAGACTCTAGTTAGACAATTGTGGTTCTGCCGGGTGACGCTATCGAAAAGACCTGGGTGGATCTGCTATTGAAATAAACCATCAGCAAGGCGAGATCCTGCACGGAATCTGATTTAATGTTCATGCCAACTGACCAACAAATAGTTATTTATTACTCTTGTGTGTGGAATAATAAAAATACCTATAATAAAAAATGTAAGTTCATTTAATGAGCTTAATATCTTAATGGGAGAGGCATCTGCACAGACATAAGATTTGGCAGATTTAATAAAATAAGAAGAATTTCAGGAAAGGAGGAGCCCATGCGAGGTGATTCACGGAGGGGGAATTTCTCAGGGAAAGCTGAGATACTTCAGGACGATTAGTTTAGGTGTAGAAGGAAGAAAGGACTTACACATCCATCGTGTGTATAGGTACACGCAGAGGCTCAGCTGACACGCAGATGCTAGAAACGCGTACTTGGATGGGCGCGCAAGTGAATGAGTTGGCGAGTCCATTTGCTGGGGAGATGGTGGGTCAAGGAGACGGCGGGAACAAGGTGGAACCTCGGGGTGACGGGCTTGGCGGAGCAGGGAGCGCTCGGCCACAGGGAGAGTGGGAAGGGCACCTTGGGGGCCTGGACAGACCTGGAGGGTCACTAGTGACCCAGCGGATAGACAGCTGTTGTTGGTTCTTGAGCACGGGAGGGATCCCTCACCAGCATATTTATAAAGAAATGAATTTAGCAGCTGTTCGAGAGAGCGCAGAGGGGACCAGAGTGGGCCAAGAGGAGACGACCTGCCCGGGGGGGAAGGGCCTGCACCAAGTCGGCCTGCGTCCTGAGATGCAGCTGACCCTGCAGGGAGGACAGACGCAGGGAGATGGAGAGGAGCTGGGAAACGTTTCAAGGAGGGTCGACGTGGCGCGCGGTGCCGGGCCTCCTTGGGTGGCCGCCCTTCCTCTGCTGCATCAGCCCCGCTCAGGGTGTGGAAGCCCGGAAGGCAGACGCAGTCTGGGTCAGCGGTACCCCGGGTGGCACGTCACAGCTCTGAGGCGGCTACCGCACCTGGAAATCCTCTCCAACGCTGACGGTTTAGCAAAGCGCGCAAACAGGGCCCACACGCACTGGGGCGACGGGTGACGGAGGAAATGCTGGGCCCTGTTCTGTGCAAGTGGAGCATCTCCTGACACTGCACACCTGTCGTAGGACCAGGGACGCAGAGACGACGGGATGGAAGCCTGTTCTTTAAGGAACTCAAAACCGAGTGGAGACGTTGTGTCAGGGCCCTGAGAACATAACAGAATACAGACGAGCTGAAGGTAACCCTTCGGGAGGTGGACAGAGGCTCCCAGGGGGAATCAAAATATGCGCCATTTTCAAGGAAAATTGCAGGTTTCAGGTTAAAAAAGGGTTGAGGCAGATGTCCCAGGCAGAGGGAGCAAGACGCGCAAAGGCCCTGGGGCACAGGTACGTGGGGAGTTCCGGGGGGCCTGGGGGTGCTTGGGGTTCACTGGGGGGCCTCCTTCGGCTGGCGCGGGCTCCTCAGAGCTTCAGAGGGACACGGCCAGTCACGCTCGGGAAGCCCGTACCCTTGTCACGGATGCTCGTGCAGCATCTGAAATAAACTCCAGCCGTCGCCCAGGAGAGGGCTTGTCACCAAAAGGGCATTGAGGCCATCGCTCTGTGGGTGTGAAGTCGAAAACCTTGGATTACTAGCTAATTGCTCGTATGGTTGCCTAAGAATTGTTTGATTTTTTACATTTAAGTTTTAATCCATTTTTTTTACATATGGGGACAACCTTATTTTCTTCTAGATGGACAGCTAATTCTGCCACTAATACTTCAATTAATAAATACTAGCTCCAGCCCCGCCCCAACTAAAATACACGCTCTTGCTGAGCTGATTTCCCACCGCAGCTGCGTCCCTCTGCGGACTGCTCTGTACCACTGCTCTGTTTACCGCAGGGCCAATCCTGCTGGAATTCCAGGCTCTGTAGTGGGTTTTGCTCTCTTGTAAATAAGCGTTTAAGGGTGGGATTAACATACGCACACTACTGTATATAAAACAGAGAACCAACAAGGACCTGCTGTGCAGCACAGGGAGCTCTACTCAATACTCTGTAATAACCCGTAAGGGAAAAGAATCTGAAAAAGGCAAAGTAGCAAAACGGATTCAAACTTCCTTTTCACACTCACGTATCAATGTCCGGAAACTGCTGGCGAGGTTCAGATTAGGCAGAAAGCGTACAGTTCACAGTGTGAGATACGTGAGGAGGTTCTTTCATTTTCCAAGCCTACACCTGCGAGTGTGGGCAAGGCCCCCGACTCCTGCAGGCCCCCCTCCCTGCGTCCCCACTCCTGCCTGTTTTCACCCACCCTTTCCCACCTGACGGCGTCTTCCTCGGAAGCATCAGGGGAGCTGTGTGTTTGAATTTGCTCTTCCAAGGGGTCTGAGACCTGAGTTGCAGAAGCTTCACTGGTGATGCCTGAGCAGGTCGTCAGCAGCGCTTTCTAACCTACGGGCTCTGGTCTTGCCTGGGCCTGGACAGAAGCAACCTGGTTACCTCTGCCTGGGTTTGGGTTTCTGATTCCCACTCTAGTGATTCACATTTAGAAAAATCACCCTTAAGGAACTACTACAGCACTAATTCTTTTATTTTTAAGCCCACTGCTTATTTTAAAAATAAAGAGAGGTCTTCTTAGGAGCTTAAAATGGTTTTATACTTAAAGTCTAGAATTTAAAAAATTTACTTTTGAACCAACAGAAGCCATCAGAAAGACTCACTGAAGAGAGAGCAGTGAATTATGTTGTGATATGTAAACTTGAATCTGGAAGCAGGAGTTATTTTACTATTTGATTTCCCCCCATCCTCCCTACCAGTAAAATGCACACTCTGGTCAGGTTGAGCCTTAGTGAAGATAACAGAGTATTAACTATACCAAAAACCGCACATTCGTAGATTCCTTCAAGTCTTTGGAGGCCGAACAGGCTCCAGGCCACAGCAATGCCCCTGGAAGGGGCTGGAAGTGGGGTCCTGGGACCGCGAGGGCCCATCGGTGTCCTAACCCATGTCTCCACGCACTGTCACCGGCGCTCCCTCTGCAGGGACGAGGCAGGGGGGCCCTCGGGCCGCGGTCTCCGCGGTGGGCACAGCTGGGGCTCCACACAGAGCCGGAGCTCCCTCCTCTCCCCAGCCGCTCCCCAGTCACTGGGGAAGTAGCAGTCACTTTGTCATCAGCCAGGCCCTACCTTTCACCTGCTGCCACCCAACCTGCGGTCGCTCACTGTTCATTAGCATCACCGAGGAGGGAGGGTTGCAGGCAGGCGGCAGCCCGAGTGGTGTGACAGTGAGAAAGTTGGGGAAGGTATAATGAAGGGAAACTAGAAGCTCTGGCAAAACCAAGGGTGCGGATCAAACTGCCTGCAGCTGTTTCCCGAGAGCTTTCATGCCCGGGGTCACCGTCTCCTAGGTAACCGAGGTCTCCTAGGTAAAGAAGACCGGCTCCACGCAGCTCCACGTGATGGAAGCTGCTTCCTCGTCTCAGTTCAGACACAGGGAAGTTTTGGTTCATAAAGAAATCCACCGGGAAAGATCAGCGAGAATTGGAGATTATGTATCGTGTCATCCTTGAGTAGAGTTAAAAAAATACTGTAACAATTTAAAGTGTTTTCTAAAATATGACATTTTCTGTGAATTTAACGTAGTGCAAATACGTTGAGATTGAGGATTCCTATCCAATATTTATATTAAGACAAAGGATAGCGTTATTGTCCAAAGGTTACAAAATTAGAAGAAATAAAGGGGTTTATGGTCCACGGTTTATAATTTTTCAGTTTAGTTATCCCACCTCTTAGGATGG